TGAAAGCTAAGCGACAGTGTGATGTCACACTTATCAGGCTTTTCTAATCCTAGCGTTTCACCATCTATTTTGTGTCAGAAACTAATGCAGGTGATAGGTGTAGGAGACTATTTTCATGTTCAGCCCGCATGAAAAACTCGGACTGACTGATTATAATCAGAAATAATCATTAAAAAGTTATTTTTAAGTGTCCCACACCTAATTTACATCATGTCACTTGTTGCATATAATGTAGAACTTGACAAAAAAAGAGTTTAATATTAATTATATAATTCTGACAGAAACATTTCTTGGAATTTTGGGCCTCGCAGCCCATTGAATTACTAGCTTTGGGAAAAGATTTAGAACTAGGCACAGAACTGTGTGAACCTACACATAAAAGAGTAGTCAAAAGTGCAGAATGGTGTCTGTCGTGCATTTATTTTGCCAATTCCATTAAAACAAAAAATAAATATATGCTAATGAACAATTCCACTCTAAGCACTTCCAGCTGGGATGCCAGTGACACCTCACCATAATGAATATTAGACTTTAATCATAATGAATGTTAATGTTAATTGTTTGTCTGAAAACTGAGCAACATGAATCCTGAATGTTAGGATAGTAACAGACAGATAGGTGTGGACTCAGGTCACATGACTTGGACTCAAGTCATTATTTTAATGACTTCTGACTTGACTTGATTAAAATCTATAAAGACTTAAAACTTGACTCGGACTTGAACGCCAGTGACTTGCGACTTGAATCGACTTGCATCTGTTGACTCGATGATGACTGGAGCATATTTGACATTTTAGCGCAAAAGTGGCACGACATGGACAAAAGTCATTAATGATTCTTGGTTCTGGGTTTGATCTTGTTCTGCTAAATGCAGCAGCTCTTTGTTTATAATCAGTTTCAGTTGCACTTTCTGCTCGTTTGAGGCAATAAATGAAGCTTTAAGAAGCTTTATTTCTGGAACGTATTGATTATCATTGTCAAGAAATAAAAGATAGACAGATGGCTTGATTATGACTTGAAAATTCAAAGTTAAGGACTTAGACTTGACTTAGACTTCCACATCATTGACTCAGGACTTGACTTGGACTTGGCTGTCTTTGAATTGGACTTGACTCAAGGCTTGTGACTAACTTGTGACTTGCAAAGCAGTGACTTGGTCACACATTTGGTAACAGCTGATCTAGATCGCCTCTTTCTAACATGTTTAGGTACATATTTCTACTAATTATGCCTATTTGGACTTCACACTGTGACAGCGTTGGGCGTCGTCTTTAAAGGTCACTTTCTGTCCTTTCTTTGGAAGTTGCATGTTTATGAATGAAACCTTGTGAGGGAAAACGTTTTAGCAGCTATCTAGTGTTTCGTGGTGGTGATTATCACGAGGAACTTTACATCCCTAAATATTTGTTGTCAGGAAGGAAGACGGACTTTATTAGATTTTAAGTGGTTTTGAAATCCAGAGTGAGACCTGGAAAATGTGGATGTGGAATGAGACTTGACCACTAATCAACAACTTCCTGTTCCAAACGTTGCATCCTCTCTTTTGTCTCACGGGGACGTCGATGTTGAAAGATCAAAGTCCAAGGAGAGAAGCAGAATCGGCACCCGTCCAGCTTCAAATAACTCAACATGTTTTTGATTAAACACAAACAAGAGCGCAAGTCTCATAAAATAATGTTTTATATAATTAGAAAATATAGTGGTGTAGACAAGAAGTCATATGAGAATAATAATAAAATTAATTATTTTGAGAATAGGATAAAGCTGAGGTCACATATTAACATTTTGCTGCTTGCATTGAAAACAGACGCGATTGAAAGTATTTATTAAAGTTTTTCCAGACTTCTCTGCCCTCAATAGAGTCTCAAACAATGCATGTAAATGTGCTCATGGCTTTATAAAAGCTTTCAGCTGCAGACGCCTGCATCCTCATTGTTGTGTTTTTGCATCCAACACATTTGTTGCTTTCTAATATTTCTTGTAATAAACGCAAAATATACAAAAATTTGTTTTTAAAAGGCTTTAAGAGTTAAACCAGACTTTCACTCAGAACATTTGTATACTTTTGCAAAAGAAGTCACTGTGATTTTTTTATTACTTTTGATTGTTTTATTAATTTTGCTGTTAATGTTTTTAGTTTATAGCACAAAAGGCTATTTTTTCTCCAGTCTGTGTCTTGAGGAACCAGCAGATAGTGATTGTAATGAATCATACAGATTAAACAGCAACAGGCTGTAGTTCCTCCTTTAGAAGTTTCTAGTATTTGATGCCAAATTCCTTCATATGTGAATAGAAAGATCAAACTTTCCCATGTCCACCTTAAAACTAATCCTCACAGTTGTCAGAGGCTTGGAGCATGTTTGTTTGTTTATTGTGCTTAAATTTAACTTTAACTGGGCTGTTTATGGAACACACACACACGCACGTGCGCGCGCGCACACACACACACAGGAGGGGGCATAAGGTGGTTTATTAAAGACAGCTGTCAGCATTTTGCTGTTCCTAAGACAACTGCAGTAAAATGTTAGTTGCATCTGCAACACTTTCAGGGCGACTGTTGCAGTTTACGGCAAAGATTTAAACAATTTGCAATAATTTTTTAATTTTAAAGTTCACACTCCTGCTCGCTCAGACCCATTGTTTAAATTACTCCCACTTAAAAAAAATATATAGAATTTATAATCAACTCAAGTTAAGTCTCATTCTTTCATAATTTTTTTTTTAGATTTTTACATGTAAAAGTTATATCTAACAGTTTTTTATAGATAACTTCCTGACTGACCTCTGAGTCCAACAGGAATGAAGAGCTAATGGTTAGTTTGAGTGCAGTGAAGATCAAATTATATTAATTCCATCTTGAAATGAACCCGTCTCTGAATGTGGTACTTCACTGAAATCCCATCTTTAAAATATTTTTTCTGATTAAAATCAGCCACTCTGAGTTTGACATGCGGGCTGAACATGAAAATAGTCTCCTACACCTATCTCCTGCATTAGCTTCTGATAGAAAACAGACGGTGAATCTCTAGGATTTAAAAAGCCTGACATAAGTCACACAGTCAATTAATATTCATGGACTCAACCATCTTGACTTGCAACAGGGAAGGCTGTTGTTGGTTTTGCGTCCAGGAAACAGCAGAGAACGTCTCGGCAAGTTTAAGCTAACCGTTAGCATTAGCAATTCCACAACACAGCAGAACTCCTCCAGACTTGTGTTATTTGTGGAGATTAAACAGAGCAAACAGAGTATGTGGTAGAGTCACGCTGCTCTTATCCAGTCTGAGGTGAGATGTCCCAATATCAGGAAATAAAATTCCAAATCCTGCTGTCTGAAGTTCAGCTCAGATGTGACTCACTTTTAGTTCCTGAAGCTATATACATAAACTTGAATTGAATTGAATTGAAACATGTGCACCAGGGTGCCTCCGTAAAACGTCCAAAAACATGAACGTTTATTCGCCCGTGACTGAAGGAGTAGAAAATAAAGCGCAAACGCGGACGGAAACGATGGGAAACGTGGATTCAGAGGTGGCAACCGCATGAAGAGGTGGAGGAGAACGAAGGACAATTTTGTCCGTGTTAAAACGTCTCTGAAATATATAAACACATTAGTAAATACATGTTTATGGACCGGATGCATGAGTGTTATGGTGGCAGGATACCACAGAAAATGCTATGCCCTCTTGTCCTGGGGGGGGGGGGGGGGGGGGACTTGTTTTGCAACACTCCACTGCCTGCGCAGAAGTTTGCATGTGAAAACCTTTCCGTCTCTCCGCATGTGTCTCTCCATTGCGGAGCTCACAAAGGAGTATAAATCAGGCTTTAGAAAGCATTCATGCCTACTAGAGATTGCTGTCAATGCAAATGTCTGGAATACATTTTCTGTTTCAATTTCAGAGGGTGGAGCCACTACGATACACACACACAGGCCAACAGTGGCATTGTGACATCATATGGTACCAGCTATTACCATACCTCTTAGCCAATAGTGACAGCAGATTTAAATTCAAATACAGTGTGGAGTGTGGAGTGGGGCGACGGTGGCACAGGAGATAAGTGCTCGCCCCGTAATCGGAAGGTTGCAGGTTCGAGCCCCGCTCAGTCTGTCGCTGTCGTTGTGTCCTTGGGCAAGACACTTAACCCACGTTGCCTGCTGGTGGTGGTCGGAGGGACCGGTGGCGCCAGTGCTCGGCAGCCTCGCCTCTGTCAGTACGCCCCAGGGCAGCTGTGGCTACATTGTAGCTCATCCCCACCAGCGTGTGAATGTGTGTGTGAATGAGTGAATGACTGATTGTGTTGTAAAGCGCCTTGGGGGGTTCCATGACTCTAGAAGGCGCTATATCAAATACAGGCCATTTACCATTTATTACCTGAAGAAGGCGCAACACTGACAGTTTCAGGAAGAATGTTTCCATTTTAACTAAGATGCACTAAAGTGCCAAATTATTGACTACACATGTCTACAGCATGGTAAGACACTGATTTAGTTGATCAGAAAACAAAGTTGATTCGGGGGTGACTTGCTCTTTAAGCAAGTTTATTATAAGTACAAAAGCAGAAAAAAACTCATATTTTAATATTGGAATTTGGACTTTTTCCCTCAGAATTCTGAAAAAATCCTCTTCAGTAGATAATTCTCAAAAGTTATAAATAGTCTTTTTTTTAAAGGTCCTGTAGATGCAGCTCTAAACAAATGCATTCCGTTGGCTGAGGAGAAAAACAGCCCATTGGGTTCCAGAGACCCCTGATGATCTGAACTTTAGGAGACAATTTCCCGTGAAGTTAGTTTGGTTTTCCCGCTTCGATCATCTCTGGAAAAAAAAACTGTCTCCACGTAGAAAAGTTAAAGAACTGTAGGCGTGAATCCTTCTCCTTAGCTCCCTCCCTCGGCCAATCACAGGACCGGTTCTAATGAGCGCACTCCTCCGATTTGCCCGGATCTCCTGTCAGAGGGAGTGAGTGGCAGGCTGAGGAGCCGAGAGGAGGAGGTGTCTGCGAGTTGTGGGGGGCCAGACAGAAACTTTTTCTTGAGCGTTTGCCCCGCTGACTCGACTGGGCTGTGACGGAGAGAAGGGCCAACATTCCGGGAGGCGCAGCGTTGCGGGACACTTCAGAGGAGAGGCGCAGTCAGAGCGGGACGCACGGACGGAGCTCATCCCCGTCAGCCAGCTGGAGGAACACACACGAATACACCCCTATGGCTGCCTGAGAAAGAACCAGACACCCCCCTCCCCCCTTTTGTCTCTCTTTCTCTGGGACTTCTTTTTTTTACTTCTAGTTTTGTCCTAAGAAGTTGTTGCGCGTCTAATTAGTCGCTCCCAGTTCCTGAGTGAATCCAGCAGCCGTGGACGGCGCAGCGCACAGAGGCGGTCATGGATACCCATATAAGATGGAAAGTTAAACGGAGGATAAGGGACGTCCACATCACTGTAGCGGTGACTCTGCTTTTTCTCACGTCGTGGGCGAGTTCAGGTAAGATGCTCGGAGGAGAAATGACTTTTCTCCACAGCGGATCACCGATGCCCGCCCACCTCCTCCTCCCCGCGCCTTTACGCAGTCCGTCTGAAACTTAGGGACGTTTTAAAACACGAATTTAAAAAACTTCCCTTTTAGAAATCCTGATAATTTGCTGCCTTCTGAGCGATGAAGCAGTCCAACAGCGTAGATGTGTTCCTAATTGGTTCTTGTGGGAAACGTTACAAGTGTCACACACACACGTTTAACTTTATGAAGCCCTTTGTGCTGATTTATTGAGGTGTTGCAAGAATAAAAGGTTGTGGTGGAGTTTAGGGAGTTCAAAAAGGTCTTTTTTCTTCTGAGGGATGAGAGGGATGAGCACGAAGAGGGAGGGGCTGTAGCTTGTTCTAAGTGGTGGGGTGGAGCCGCCTGAAGGACCTTGGGCATCAGGGGACGCTGGGTACTGCTGCGCCTCTGTCCAATTTTCTTCATCACGTTTTTATGTAGGATAATTCAGTTATGGATGTACGGTTTAGGGGATGTGATGTAGTGGTGGACAAGGGTTAGGGTTCCACGGGAGGTGAATATATCAGTTTTGTTGCATCCCAGGGGGGGGTCAGAGGTCAGTTAGAGGGGCGTGTTCCGGTGTTCCTTTATGTATTATTAGCAGCTTACGACGGGTTGGCATGCCTGGTGGTCTGCTGAGGTTCTGACACCAGCTTTTAAGGAGAACAGGTGGCCTCTCCTTTCTGTTTACTCAGAAATGGTGCTGATGGTGTGAATTTGTACTGAACGATTTAAAAAAAAGCTGAATTTTGGTGTTTTTTCTTAGTAAATCTAAACCTGAGGAAGTTAAATCACACAGGGTGATGTATTTTTCTTTGTTGTAAAGTCTAGCTGAAAATCCGGCTCATGTTGAAGGCAAAAGGTGACGTTTGATGTTCACAGCTTCGTGAAGCTGCAGGGTGGATTTTATAATTCTGATTAATAACATGCCATCCACAAGAAAGATAAATAAACTATCCTGTTCATCAAACGCAAGAGTCGTACTTTTAATCAGCTGTTTTCCTCATTATGTTTGTGGTTTATAGATACTCCAGAATGAAAATAACACAATTGCTTTCATGGGTTTTCACCATCAGTTCAGACAAACTTTAATAGGAAGAACAAAAAAAAATCACCTTTTTGTTATAAAATATGCATTTTCAGCCTTTTTTTACTGGCTTTACAGGAGGGGTTTCCAGACTCTTAGCTCACAAATGAAAGATCTTGTAGACGCGTGAGTCCAGTTGATGTTGGTTTCTGTAGACTGGTGTCCTGAACCAAAAGGCATAGATCAGGGGTGTCCAATGTGTGACCCAGGGACCATTTGTGGCCCTCGGAGGTCCTCAATTGTACCTTGACATTGGTGGAATTTTGTTTCCAACTGGGTTTTGATGTAAATCAACACATTTAAATATTAGGAGCCGTACAATTAGAAAATGTCACCATAATTTGTTTTCTTTAAATTAAAAGCACATCTCAGTGGCTCAAGAAGACTTTTTAACTAGATTTGGGCCTTGATCATTGAATAAGTTTAACTTCCTCACAGACTGAACGGTTTCTGTGAGACGGGACACCTCCTAAGCAACTTTAGCTTCGAGTTGTTGAAAATGGACAACATCTGTCCCAAACAAACAAGTGTCTTTGGCTCTTTGTCCTGAAAACACTCTGGTTTATTGGTGATGGTGGTGTGAGGGCTTGGCTGGTGTCGTACGGCGCCTCACACCTCCTAACGGCTGGGTGAGCTCCAGCTCCATTGGATCCTTAACGAGAATAAAGCAGGAGGAGCAAATAAATTCACTTAGTAAAATTATAACTTTTTCAAACAACTGGAGCAGTAGAGTGGCTCAGCAGCACCTGGCAAAGACTTTAGCTGATCACAGATACTGAGTTATGATCAATTATTGACTATTGATCTTTCCATATAAAAAGGACAAAGTTTCACAGCAAAAATTAAAACATGTTTTATTACTTAAATATCAAATGTTGTTTTTATTATCATGTGTATAAATCTGACTATGAACTTGAAAGGTTTTATGGGAATATTCCTTTAACTCTTAGGAATCAGCTTGTCTGTGAATGAAGCCATGAGTGACCAAGTCCACCTGCAACTGAACCATCATCAGTGTTTGTTGCTTTCTGTTGGACTCACCAACCATGCTAGGTGATATTAGCAGGACAACCTAATATAAAATCCTCCATTTTTGATTATTTTAAATGTTGAGGTAAGACAGAACCACCTTTACAGCTGATTTACTGAGATGCAAGCTGACAGAAGAGAGAAAGGATGCCGGACTACAGCAGCTTTTACCTCTTTTTATGCTTGAGGCAGACATATGGATTTTTGCGGTTGGTTCCAACTTTCCAAGTGGGATCTCTCCACATTGTTCCAGTTGATTTTCCATAAACTATAAACTCAGAAATTCGACTTCTGGGGTTCAATGGAATGCACCTTACGTCTGGGTTTTTACTAGTTAGCTGCTGTCTTTGCTTTTTGACAGCTGATGTTCACGAGGCAACATACGGTCACTTTCTTTGGGATTTTGAACTTTTTATGGCTTTTATAAATTCATGTTAAGTTTGGTGAAAGTGAAGTAAACAAACATACTTGTAACTCATTCACTGCCAGCCGTTTCCTAATCAGAAGTGCCCTTCGAAGTCAGCGTTTTTTTTTTTTTTTACAGTTTTTACTGTTTTTTTAGAGTCACAGAACGTTGCGCGCTAGCATGATGTCAACGCCAAAACAACCAAAACAAAGAGGAGACTCACCTCTTACATCAGGAAGAATCCGCGCGTTTCGAGCGTTATCCGTTCTTTCATAATCCGTTGTCGAATATTGATCGGCAGAAGCTTTTCCGGTTCGCGCCTCACTTTTTTTTACAGCAGCGGCCCAAAACGATCTCCTAACACATGGATTTTCTGCTTCCTGATCATGTGACGTGTGACGTATGCAGATGAAGATCGGCTTCAGAGCTAGGATGTTTGTTCACACGGTGCGGGGGCTCGTTCCGACGCCCACACAGTAAAAAAACGCAAATGACAAATATAGTCGTCATTGGCAGTGAATGAGTTAAAAGCTAAGCTAAACGCTAAAGTTTTATCCATTAGTCAAACTCGTATTTGTGTGAATTAGATCAGTTCTTTGAAACTTCCATCTGTAGTGCGGTTCACATGGTAGGATAATTGTACTGAATTGTGACCTGATTCTCCTCCTCCAACATTCTTATGGACGCGTCCAATTACTGTAATGGCTCTGAAGATAGTCTTATCATCTTATCATTTCTGCTGTGCGTGGTGTGTTTTGAGCAATTTTGTCTGCTCGAAAGCACGTTACGAATGCTCGGATCACAAATTACGACAAAAAGTCCTATAGTCATCATCTCACTGGTGAAATAACATCTCTGCATTTGACTCACCCCCGTGGGGAGCGGTGAGCTGCAGCAGTGGCTGTGCTTGGGAACTATTTGGTGGTTTAACCCCCCAACCCAACCCCTTAAAGTTGAGTGTCAAGCAGGGGGGCACTGGGTCCATTTTTAAAGTCTTTAGTATGACCCGACCAGATTTAAACCCTGATCTTCCAGTGCCAGGCTAGACACTCTACTACTAGGCCACTGAGAAGGTTAATAACGTGTTGAATTGTCTTGGTCCGATTTTCAAAGACAAACAAGTGTGCTTCCTGTTGAATGTGACGTTTAGCCAATCAGAAAGGGAGGTGAAAGAAGTAAGCAGCACACTCCTAGTCCACCATGTTCGTTTGTTCCAAAGTGACGTTTGATTTAGCGAGATTTTCCGTCCGATCAGGGAACGTTAGTGTGAAATTGGTTTGTGTGTAGTTGGAAGCCCACACCATATGCTATAGAACCAAAAATTGGTAAATCCATGATAATTTTTATGTACGACCTCACATTTTTTGAAAGATGTCTGTTAATAAAAAAAAAATCCTGCTGTGTGAACCAGGTCCAAAAGTCATGCCTGGTATCAGGTGACAACTGTAAAATATGTGGAGGGATAAGGACATGAAATCTAGACTAACAGGTGGGTTTAGCCATGGTCTATTGTAGCCTCAGCAGGTCTGCCATTGGCTCGGCTAAGTGTGGGCCAGGCTAATCAACTGGGCAGGGGCGCCTCCAGAAAATTTAGATAAGGGTGGCCAGATGGGGCCAAATAAATTCTTGGGGTGGCACACCAAATTGTTCCTTGTGGTAACTCTGGTTGAATTTAGTCTTTGGCGATGTACTGCATTGCACTTTTATTCGTTTTTATTAAAATAACAGAACGTATCCAAAACATTTACTGGTAACTTAAATTTTACAAAGACAAACATTTTAGAAAAATACATTTCAGTTATTTAATATGTTATCCCAAATAAAATAAAAAATGTATTCTTTTAGGTTAACTCACCTGTGTTGCTGTGTTCACAAAAATAAAAACTTTTTTAAAATGGTGAGCAGCAGAAACATATGTATTTTTTAAATTCAGGTTATTTCGTTACTCATCAATTGTAAATTTTTTTTATTTTGTTTTATAATTATGTCTTGAATAAACAAGATCAATATACTGTATGGCTTGACTGAACATTAATATGATTTGTTAACACTGGCTTTTCCGGGGGGGGGGAGGGGGGGGGGGAGGGGGGGGGGGTCATGGCCACCCCTGGCCACCTCTTGGGGTCGCCCTTGCAACTGGGTGGGCTGAGCACCATTACAGCAGAGCTTTTATATGATGATGGCAGAGCGGTGATGGACTGAAAGAACAAAGATGGCAGTGGTGAAGTTGTAAAAGGCTGTAATAGCTGCTTTGACGATGGGTTGACTGATTTCTGTCACGTGTTGGTTGCTTTGATTGGTCCTAGCGTTGTCCACCTGCGTGCAAAGACTGAAAGACAGTTGCAGATTTCGCCCCTACGACGGAGCTCTGTATACAGGTTATACCATGCCAAGACTTTGCATTGTAATTTTTAGAGTTAATATTGA